GTTGATCCCTTTGCAAGATGTCATGTAAATCGATTAGCCAAAAACAGTCCAATTTTATCTACTTTCTGGGCGGGCCCTGCTGCATCAAAATTACAAAAGAACGAAAAAAAGATCAATGAATAAAGTAGAACACTACATACAGTACTGTAATGCATTCCTGCCCATGTTGGTCCTCTGCAGTGCTTCCTGCTGTCTCCGGGATTCGGGAAGTGTGTAGGTCACGTGACTTGATTCCAACTTGCCGAAGCAACCTCACGTCCGGAAAGCGGCTCGAGTTTGCACGTCTACCGCAACCCTTCTCCGCTCCCACATCCTCACTCCAACGTCACAATGGCTGCCTCTGTATGTCAATTGCATTCCTGTTGCCTTTCTTTGCTGGTGGCTAGGGGTTATGGTTTCGCTGACTGCCAATCTACAGCGTAGCGCCGCTCTGAAGATCGACTGGGCCAAGGTGACCAGCTCGTTGGGCCTTCGCGGCCAGACGGCTGCGTCGCTGCAGGCTTTCAAGAAGCGCAACGACGATGCTCGCCGCAAGGTCCAGATGCTGTCTGAGCAGCCCCAGACGGTCGACTTCGACTACTACCGCAAGGTCCTGAAAAACCAGAAGATCGTCGATGAGATCGAGAACCACTTCAAGAACTTCAAGCCTGCCACCTACGATTTGAACCGCCAGCTCAAGGCTATCGAGGCCTTTGAGGCCCAGGCTCTGAAGAGCGCCGAGGAGACTAAGGGCAAGGTTGAGGCCGAGCTGGCCAACCTGAAGAAGACTCTGGAGAACATTGAGACTGCCAGACCCTTCGATGAACTCACTGTGGTATGTGGCTTTGCATCGCGACGGGATCGCGGGTTTCCCAGTTTCACGCGGATGCTGATGAGCCTTTCTGTACAGGACGAGGTTGCCGCCGCTCAGCCCGAGATCGACGAGAAGACCGCGTCGCTGGTGTCCAAGGGCAAGTGGATGCCACCGGGCTACAAGGTTCGTGTTCACTGCCGTCATTTTCTCCGTGTGTGTTATTCTACAGTTTGCTAACGGTTCGCCACCTACAGGAGAGATTCGGCGACCTGTCCCTGCTGTAAACAGTGCCGACCCATATCGATCTGTGTGCATTTACCGTCCTTCTTCCCATGTGACCATACCACTATATCCTACCTGTCAAATCATTGGGGCCAGCCAGCTGGGGATGTGCTGTGTTTGGCTACGTGATATTGGTCAAATGTGTATAGAACCATTGTTTCAATTAGATGACCGTTCCTAGACCGACATCTCCATGGCCTTATCCTTAGGGGAAGGCCCAGTATTTGTATCTTTCGCGGAGAGCATGCCTCTCTCGAGTAATCGTGGTTCCTGGGGAACCAAATAGCATGCTATTTTTCGAGCTTAAACGATTATAGTGAGAAGTTGCACGGACCAACGTATTCCATGGCTGGCTTCCCTGCTCAACATTACATTGATACAATATCCATCTTGCCAGCAGATGCCTGCTAGTAGTGACTTGCAAGCGTCCATGACAATGAAGTCTTAATTGTCGAGTATGACAACAGAACCGCGTATGGACCTACATACTTTCAAGAAAAGTATTGAGTTGAAGGGTCCATGCCATGTGAGCGATAAGGTCTGCCCCGCGTCCAGTAGACGACTCGAACCAGCCATACACGTCAGAGGATGCTCCTCGACGGAGTGATAAATGCTCGGGATTAATTAATGCCAATTGCTGCAATGCAGTGACTTCCCTAGGTGCATACTTCCAGTCCTTATCATGGCAAGACTAAGCCCGGATTTACAACATATGTCCTCAACCGGTGGCACCACTTCTGACCATACCTGGAGACCATAATGACATTCGTCATCTTCCTTGAAGATTGTCTCCTTTTTTTTTCTCTTTGCTTAACTCCATAGACAGGCTCGTTCTGCTGAGCAGGACAAATGATGCTCAGATGTTGGGCACAGATACGGATTTAGGTCTTAAGACATTAGGACGGAGAACAGAACATGTACTTCGTATGTCCACAACGGAGATGTCTGCCTCTTTCTGTGTGTCTCGAGTCTTTATATATATCCAGAGGATGATCACTGTCTGTTTTTGAGGGTAAACGGTGTGAGTAATGGATATGCAATGCTGCCTTGGAGTTTTGTGGGAAGGGAAGATATCAGGAATAGTACGCATATATGCCGCGATGTATATCGGTACTCAGGCCCTAACTCCGAGGAAATCATCTTGAGTGAGTTATTCAGGGATTCTTGCGAAATAGACGGCGTGTCCATGGCCAGTTGTTCCTCGTTCGCCAGGTCAGTCTCAAGCCAATCAAGATTCGACTGTCACGATCCAGTGAGTACTCCGGAGTACGGACGGGAGTGCGCTGTCTTCATTGTTCCACCTGCACCGAGGACATACGCCCATTATCGCCAATCATCTGCTTCGCGGACTTGTTGCTCATCATATCAAACAGGACTGCCAAGGTAGCGACGCTCAAGTTGAGTGGACGGCTTTGTTTCGCACCACCTGGCGATCGATCTGGATATAGATATACGGATGCGTGCGTTGCGAGAAATCTCCATGAATCTCCATGATCTATCGCTTTTTTCACCTGCAACCTCGTTACGTCTGCTAACCTTACCTCCCTCCATATTTAGGCCACTATTACTAGACTGGAAATGCCTTCTCTGCAACTCTTCTTCGGTGGCACCGCGTGTTAGTCACACCGCCTATCCTGGACAACAGCACTCCGTTCTCGTCTCTCCGGTGTACGGAGTCCTTCATCCTTCCCCAGTTCCTCCCTCCAGCGGCACTGCGGCAGGGGCTGGTGCCGCCAGCGGCCAGCCAGACAGTGCAGGTTAGCTTTGCAGGCGTGCAGGCCATTGCAGACGGGCGAATCCGATTGCTAGGGCAGGCGGAGCACAACCACTGCAGCGGAGACGATTCCCAGCTGGCCGGGACGCCGAGTGGCTTCTGGCAAGGGCTAAGGGGTCTCTGGCACCCCTTGGGCGGAGGGGTGGGTGCATTCAGCGACTGCTCCGGTCGCTTCAGTAGTGCAGCCAGCCTGCAAGCGAACGCTGCAGCAGAGCGACGGTCCCAAACACGCGGCCCAGCCATGAGGCCTGAGCGGCGCCCGCGGAGAAAGCCAGCCTGTCGGGTCCTCACATTGTGACAAGGACGCAAGATTCGTCAACGTTCGAACAGTCGACTCCTCTGGCCAGCACGCTCAGGAGGAGCAGTCGAGAACAGTCCCCCTCTTGCTGCGAGCAGCCTGCACCGGCTGCTTTAGTCGTTGACGACCATCGATCGTCCTTGCCCAGTGAGAACGGGCAATCCGGCTCTGTGTCTCCATCAACTAAACCATGACGGACAGGATCCACAGGCTTCCGACGCATCCCTCCCGTCAAAACCGTCCGCCTGGCCATCTTGTCCACAGGTTCCCCCAGTGGGATTGGATTCGGCAGTGTCCACTCCCGAGACTTGGCTTGAGGAATGAAATATTTGGTTTCATCGGCTGGCACTTCTCGAGGCGTTATCGCTATTTTTTTTCCCTTCCCTGTTTTTTTCCCTGTAATTTCCCCGCATCGTCGTGCTCACACCCGTCGTCACATTAATTAATCCACGATTGATAATCAATCCCTCAGTCGATCACATCACCCAGCCTGACGGTAACTACCGCCCGACGTGGCTCGGAACCAGTCAAACTCCCCAGCCTTATACCACTCCAATCAGGCCACAGGCACGCGGTGGTTGTTGAAAGAATCCCTGTTGTCCACTTCATCGTGCAGTCCCAAAAAAGCCCTTGTCTGACTACTTGAGTCAGCCCGTGGAATTCGGTCGACG